GATGGATGGATGGATGGATGGATGGATGGATGGATGGATGGATGGATGGATGGATCATTCTCCAGTCATTCATACACACACACACAAGCACACACACACATTCTTGATTAGAGAAACAGCATGGATTTATCTTATTCAAAATATTTTTGAGCAAATGAACATACAAAACAATACCCCTAATAACGCTCCAGCAACTGTGATGATGATGATACTCTGTTCATGGGACTGAGCCTAATTCCTCTTCTCCATGACTTCAGACACCTACATCAATGTTCAGATCCTGTCTTCTCCTCCTCCCCAGTTATTTTTTAGCACCTAACCTAATGAAGTGTTCTGAAGACCTCAAAAGCTTGCACATTTTTGTTGTTGTTGTGGGTTTTTCGGGCTCTTTGGCCGCGTTCTGAAGGTTGTTCTTCCTGACGTTTCACCAGTCTCTCTGGCCGACATCTTCAGAGGACTGGAGTAGGAACTCTAGTCCTCTGAAGATGCTGGCCACAGAGACTGGTGAAATGTTAGGAAGAACAACCTTCAGAACATGGCCAAAGAGCCCAAACAACCCAGAACAACCATTAGATCCTGGCTGTGAAGGCCTTCGCGAATACCTTGCACATTTTGTCAACTTACATTCTGTCCCCATAGAAACATGGCTTCTCTATGGATTTTGTTGGGTTCTGTTGTACACTGTTGTAGGAGGAAATGACCACTGAAGACGTGGCAGAGTTGTGGGGAGTGGAGTTCCGAACAATAACTCCGCGAAGCTTGGATCGTCACAATCGCTAGCCTTCAGGTAGAGAACGTGCAAGGAAGAGAAGGAAGAAGCTGTTCACTTGCTATCTTCAGATCAATGTCCAGGTGACCAGATGGAATACTTGGTGGGAGACAGCTCTCTGCCTTTGAAATGTGGATGATGAGCAGACAGGAAGCCAAGCCCTAGGAGGAAAGACTGAAAGAACCGGGCATGCCTTCCTGCTTTGAACAAGGGGTTGGACTCAATGACCTTATAGGCCCCTTCCAACTGCATGGTTTTGCAATTCTATGTCCCTGCTTGGGAAATTGGGCATCAACCTTTTACCACACTCCAGTGAGATGCCTGCAAATGTGCTCGAGAATCTCAGCCCCAGGGATGAGCATCATCCCCTGTTTCAATCTATACTTGACCAAGGTTGCACAGATAAGTACCTGATGTGCCCTGTGCTCTTTTGATGATGCTCCAATTTGATGCATGTCAAGGTCAAGCATTTCCAAATCATTGTTAAAAAAACATTGCAATAACAAGGGCAAATACAAATAGCTATGAGAAAGAGTCACATCTATACATCAGTGTCTATGCGGAGAATTTGGTAGACAGAAGAGTTGTACAGCAGCCCACGAGCAATTTCTGAAAGGACAATGGAGAGTTGGCATGTGAACGTTTTCACCAGGATTTCTCCCAACTAGCCTTTAGATAGCTTCAGCCAAAAAAAAGAAAAAAAAATATTCAAGCGAGAGGTTAGGTGTTCAATTCATCTCAGAGTACAGGATACATAATAATGGGCTCAAGTTACACACAATCATCTGTTAGATCTGCTTTGATCTGGAGTTTTGCACTGAGCAGGTGGTCAGACTCAACAGCTTTATTTCTGTTATTGTTTAGTCATTAAGCTGTGTCCGACTCTTCATGACCCCATGGACCAGAGCACGCCAGGCCCTCCTGTCTTCCACTGCCTCCCGGAGTTGGGACAAATTCACCTTGGTC